GTTATTTTACTAATTGATTTACCCGCTTCAATTTTCACAGAATGTACAAGTTGTTTTAGCAAAACAAAAAAAGAGACACTGCAATGTGAGAAAAACCCTTTTAGCTCTTTCTTCTCTATTTTCAAATGATGCTGCAGGGCATCTCGACCGTCGGGGGGGGGGGAGGTACCAGGGCATGAGTTAAGCATGAGAGACAACAGGTCAGAGACCAAGTAAAACCACTTCTTTCACAGCTGACCTGGAGTCTTTTTGATCCAGTGAAATGAGCATCAGTTCACACGTTTCCCATGAATGCGGAACCGATAGATGCACGTGTAATCAGGATGTCCGTGATTGGACGTGATTCGGAGCTCCACGATCTCAAAACTGTCATCCACAAGAGTCTGCAAGGCAATCATGATGAAATTCAGAGTGATGCTCATGCACAAACATTCACAAACCACCAATAGAGTATGTGAAACAAACCTGAGCAGGGAAGAACTGCAGTGTGGGTCCTTTATCATTATAGGTGTATTTACCCAGCATAACCCCTTCATAGTCCTTCTCGTGCTTCAGCCCCTAATGGTGAAGGAAAGAAATTTGTCATTTTTAACTGGAAGAAAGGAAACTCAGGGAATCTCTTCCCAATCAATCAGAGAGTTAGGATGAATTGCTCAGTTTTGCTCTGAAAGAGCCCTACCAGGACAAAGAAGTCTTTGGGGGCAGAATTGATATTGCCAGTGGTAGACAGCTCCACTGGGATGTGTTCAAGGGTGAAGCCACTGATCCTGACATGGGATGGAAGTTTGATCACCAGGTATCCATGAGCTCCCTTGAATGCCCAGCACTGGCCTGGTGACATCCCAGGCTAAGAGAATTTTAAAAAAGGAGGAAAATTCAATTTAAAAAAAAAACCAGTCCTGTATAGACAAGTAAATGATAATGACTTCTCACCTGAATCACTTTCCTTGGAGTGTTGTGGTAGTTCCAAATGGGGATTCCAAAGATTTGCAGCTGAGCCATTCCCAGGTCATATGTTTCAGAGCACCTTGTGTTAATCACAGTTGCTCCTGAAAGTTTTACATACCAAATTTCTGATGACTGCCTGAGAAATACCACACAAGGAATTTTCAGATGGGATAGCTCACCAGCAGATTCCAAGGCATGATCAGCCATTCCAGTCTTGTCTGCATCAAATTTGGCCAGTTCCTTGCGAATTAGGGAGAGGAAATATTCAGAGTAGGAGGAGATGTTGACAGGAATTCCCAAAGTCTCCTGACTCTGCCCAGCTCCAACACTTTGAGTGCATGTTGGACAGGCTGATGCCTGCTTCCCTTCAAATTCCTTCACTGTTGCCCTGATCTCATCCAACTGGGACTCACAGCTCTTTTCAATCTGGACCTGGAGGTTCTCCCATGACATCCCTGCACAAATGCAACAAAGTCAAAACTTTTTGGTGCATGCTGATGCTCTTTGTGAATTGGAACCATGCAAGCACTGCTATGATACTCTACCTCAATGATGTATTGTACAGTAAAATTTTAACTCTGACAAAACACTCTGTAATACTGATAAACATTAACAAATCATTTTTACCTATAACAGCTGTAACAGCAGCAGACAGCTATTTCCAGTCAGTACCAAGAAAGAAAATCAAATTATATTTTAAAATGTTATACATATGGTATGCCAATTTCAAATTATAGCTAATGATAACCAGGGCGGAATTTACAAGAGTAAAAGTTTGGGTTGGTCTCAATGTTCAGGAGGTCCATGCCTGAATGGAACTCCAAGGCACATTTCTCTCTATTTCATTAATAAGCTGCATGTAACCTATACGACTTTCCCCAGGACTTCAATGAACCTCTACGAACAATAAGAGCTGCCCAGCCCCTAAATTATAGGATCTCCTCTGAAAGAGTTACTCTAACACATACCAATCATATTGTTCAGCTAATATTGGGCATGGGGCTCACCGCTGAATCGTGACCGTATGATGTGACGAATCCATGCACCAAAACTTCTGGGTTCTGTGGGTCCAGCCTCACTTTCCCCAGCAGCTGCCATAATTTCCCCAAGACTGGCATGGATCTCAGCTGTGATGTTCTTTGCATCTATGGCTCTAGCATATTCATTCTGCATCGCCTGAAAATAAACTTCAGTGCGGTCTCCCATTCCAGAAAATCTCTGAAACACCTAAACACTTTCAAAGGCTAACCTGAAGGCCATGGATTGCATCCTTGAGGGAATCGACCTGATCCCACAGGTCCTCGATGTCTTGGACAGGTACAGCATTGGATCCAGGTTGTAGAGTTCCGACCATGCGCTCTGTACGTTGGACAGAACCTTCAAGACTTCCAAGACTTTCCTGCAACCCTTTCAGCTTTAATTCCACTCCTTCCAACTTTTTCCAACACGCTTTGAGCTCCTCTGCCTGCAAACAAAGGCATTTTGAAATCTTCATAGAGTACTCCTTTCAGGACAAGCTTTGACCCATAAAGCACACCAGTCAGTCACCAAGGAACAGTGGGGTACCAATCAACATAAGAAATGCACCATAACCAAGGAAGATGTCATGCTGCACTATAGTTCATGGAATACTGTGTATTCACAAAGCAAGACAGTCCAGACAAAAACAGCATGAAGCAACATGCATGTATGTCTCCAAAGCATGCATGTAGGATAAATTGAAGAGGGATTAGGGAAGGTGAAGACAACTTCAGAGTACATGACATGGATTTGCCAACACATGAAATGTCCCAGGGATCCAACAAAGGAGCAACTGCATGGTACAACTAGGTGGCATGCATAAATGTATCCACTTCAAATTACCACTTTTTCATTGTGATGCGTTTCCCGCATCTCCACCGAGGCTAAGGCAGTCATGAACTCTTTATGCTGAGACTGGAAGAAATCCTTGAAGTCGGGGGATGAGAGCATGAAGGCAGTCAATTTTCCTGGGTCCACCTCAGGGCATGGATTAGGGCAAGGATTCATTTGATGATGAAGACTGGGTCCTGGGTCAACAGGCATCCCTGGGGTTACAGTTGATTCCCTTTGGGTGCAGTTCTATGCAAACAGTGTACATGATAAGGAATGTATGTGATAACGAAGTATACTTTATAACAGGCCATAATGAGGGAGAAAAATAGATTAGATAGGACATCACAAGAACTCCACATTCAGAGAAATAAGAGGCAAGTATAATGAGTAATACCAACACTACACAATGCTGTAAGGTCCATTATTCAAGGAAACAAAATTAGACATTAGAATCATTAAGCAGAAAAAATACCAATGAGGAGTTAGTATTTGAAATAGGTCAATAGGCTTATACATTCATATTATTTTTCAGAATGTGTGACCAAAGGCTACCTCATCTGCCTTTTTCAAATTGTGGGTCTATGCTTTAGCATCATTTTCACATCATAACAATATCAGAGCAATGCAACAACTTGTACATATTGTCAAGTGATGCAAAAATTCATGAGGCATAATGACCAGAAAACTGAAGCACAAGAAGAGCCTAGGAAAAGCAGAATTCAGCCTGGTAAGAAAGACTAGAGGACTTACATTTGCCAACCATGGGAACCAGAAGGATAATGAAGACCATTCAATTTTTTCAGGGCATTCCTGACCAGATACATGAGCCACCTCCTTGCAGTGGGACATTTGGTGGTCCCAGTTATCTGACAGAAATAATCAATTTGATATCAATACCTAGTTCATCTGGAATGATTAAGCAAAGAGGAAAAAGCTTACTCACATGCCAAGAAACACAATAGAAGCACAAACAGGGCAAACAACCACTTGAGCTTTCGAAAGCATGGCCGAATAAGGGTTTCCATGACTTCAATACCAGCCAATGGAGTATACAATATGGTAACTATGGGCAAAGAAATCATTTTGAGTACACGTCACAGAGAAAATGGTAAGAAATGGATTGGAAAATGAAGATAATGCTGTAACTCACGAACTCTACGAAAGATAGTGGAGCTCCGGCCATAGACATTAACAGCAGAACTCCGATTGGCAACCAGTGCAGCCGCAGCTAGTCTTTCTGTTTCACTGGGACCTGCAGCTTTTCCTCCTCTTCCTCCTCCATTACCCGCTGCAGAAGGTGCACCAACTGGGGGTTCAACCAACCGGTTGGCAGGGTGAATGCCATTTGGACGGGCCCTAGGCACACGGTTCAAATCCTCCCCTCGTTCTTCTTCATCATCAGAAAAAGCCCCTTCATATAGAGTCTGCTGAGTGTCCTGTTGTCCTTGGAGAAGCCTATTTAACCCTGTTCACACGAAAAAAATGAGCAAATAAATATAACACAAAATGCTATAAAATTATCAGACTTATAATTAAATAATCTGATGATAAATATTTTAAAAGTTTCTTTAGAGAGAGGTCAAGATAAGAAAAGGATGACAGAAGAGAAACCCCTGAAGAGTAAAATTTGGAACCTCTTTTGTTCACTCATGCAGACTTTTGTTTATATAATTTTGTTTTTTGCATTTATTTAGGTGGATCTGGCTTCATCCTTCAATGGTCTAAACATGAATTTTGCCCTACATGATGAAGAGCAATAAATAAATCAGTGGCACAAAAAACAAACTCACACTGAGGGAATAATGCATGACTATTACAGTCCTCACAGCGGTACACCCCACTTGTATCAGCTCCAGCAGAAATCCTACTGCCATTCAGAGGGTGTCGGGCCATATTGGGACTGGTGATGACTCGGGTTGGAGTGATATGTGATCGATATGCGAGGCTCTGAGCGTATGTATATCCTCCTTTCTCTGCAGAGATTGGGATCCTATTGGAAAAGATTACTAACATATCATGTGTGCTCTGCTTCAGTGACCAGTCAATGCAACCATTACAATCTCCCTGGACACAGTAGTGCCTCAGACGCTAACATGCTTTTAACACATTGGTGATGGGCCCCGAGAAATCTCGTAGTACGCTCGCAAGCATACTACAAGATTTCTCGTGGCCCGTCACCAATGTGTTAAAATAGTTTGAAGATCATAAGTTTTTATTATTGGTTTCTCACTGCTCTCACTGATGGGTTAAGATGAATAATCCTACCATTATGCAGCCAGTACTAAAATAACTGACAATGGAACAAGGTGATCCATGAAATTTTACAATGAAACTAAAATTGGAATGTCTAATATTTGCAGAGTGTCTTAGAGGTCTGCCAATGACAAAATGGCAAAGAGTTCAGGCCTGTGGATGGAAGTTTGGAGAGTTGATGAAATTAAGGAATTGATAGTAGAATGGCAGTCTGATATAAGCCCCTTCCAAAGCGAGGATGGGACTGGGAGGCAAGGTTGCCACCAAACCAACACTTCATGCAAAACACAGACAAGACCTCGCAACCAACCCCTCAAGTTTGGGATCATTTGTTACAAAACATAATTATAGGAGCATGCCAATAATGCCACAGGGAGGTTGAACATGTTATGATAGACCTTTCCTGAATAACTGCTGTTTGATTGAACTGTTTCACTTTTCCCAACAAACCATGGATGTGGTCCAGTATGCGACTACATAGATGTAAAATGGTTAGATTTGGAGACATGGAAAGCTCTGATCTAATGAAACTGAGAAATGCCAGTAATCTTGATAGTTGACCAAAACACACCAAATGGATCACAAAACAGCAGGGGTCTAAGGTGATGCAGCTGTGATGACAGGACTTCAAGATTAAAATGGTAGGGAAAGATCATGCTGTATGTAGAATAAAGAACAAAAAAAAATACTCTTACTCTCTTATGCCATCAGTTTTTTAGTAAAAAAAAATTCATGTTTCAAATCTAGAGGCTCACAATCATGGGGGGGGGGGGGGGGTACCACCCTAACAGTTGGCACATTGTAAAATACAACTAATACAATGCCAAGTAATGAGGCACAAATAAAAATGTCAATAAAACTGTTATAGATAAGGTTTCCTTCAAGAATATATCAAATACATCTTGACTACCTCTATAAAATTATTTTTCCACCCCACTTTTTAAGAATGCCCAACTGTTATCACCATATCATCGCTCAAGAGATGCTTATCATGAGATTTTGTGACAATCATTTAGCCAAAGTCAGATGCATATCAAAAGGCTGGCCAGCAAGAAAAATGAAAATCTGATAGCATTATATGCTAAATGCCATGCTAAACTAGTTATGACTTTTAATTCATGTTAATTCAGGCAGCAAGGTGGGTTGGCTGGTTTGACCCTCATTTGAATGAATAATGGCCAAAATTCCAAATGAAACCATAGCATCTAGAAGAACCCAAGGCCAAGAGACATGAAAAATTATCATATGACATGTAATGACAAGAGACTGACATGGCATGATGAAATGTCACAATCACCAATGTAGTTAACATCATTAAAGAACTTGATATATTGAGGAAGCTTGTTTCACCATGACAAACCAACTCTGGCTGAAAAAGTAATTATTTTGATTGAGAAGGCAAGGTTGACAAGGAAAAGCCTGCTTAGAATTACGGTCTCTGAAGATATGATCATACTCTGATGAAGGCATCTCAAATCAAGTAGAGGGGATGGCATCTTTCAGGCCATTCAACATTTTTGCCAAGCTGGCACAAGCTTATATTGGCACAAGTCTCTGGGCTGGATAGCCTTCAAATAACACTCTGATCCACTTTTCAGTCTATAACAATACTATGGAATGCAATGTTGGTAATAAGATGAAAGACCTTATCAAAGGCCTATGCAGAAGTAAGATAATGTTATCAACAAAGTGTGAAAACATGAAGGAATTCAAAGATTACATGACCGACTCAATCACAAAGGAACCAATGCCAACACTGAGAGTAGCTCATGTTATCTATACATCAGATGTCTAACAAAGCACCTTGCTGGCACCCTCCCCCAGCATCAGTTTTTCAAAACATCCAATGCTTCTTTTCAGCAATCATCAGAGAATCCAAGAGAGTATCGCCTTCAAACACCCCAAGTACAACAGTACCACTGGCATACATGTGAACCCAGACAAGAACAGAGGAAAAGATTGACTCCAGAATTCCTGCCAAGACAAGCTAATCAGATTGCACTGGATCAGAACTAACTACCAAGAGCTAAACTATTTCTCTTGTCTGCTGCTTCTAGTGACTCTAACTGAAGAATACCTAGCAGTTTGTCTTAGAAGGTTTAGCAAGACAATTCTCAAAGTCTCATAGGTTGGCAATTAGAGGACTCTGCTCTCCTTTACTTCTTAATACAACTTCATTTATTTCAAAGGGAATCTAATTTTAAACATGAAAACAAGACCAGAAGTTCACAAGATACTGGATGAAACCCTGGATATGATTGGGATCATTCTGACTCCTTGCTGTTGTCTGCAAGGAAGCTCTACCAATCAAGCCCCAGCTACATGACACTCACAAAGGTATGGGACAATCATTGAAGCATGCAGGACAGCAGAAGATGAAAACTCTAACCTTACTCTAGACATTAACAAGAACACACAAGGGGGATTCTCAGAGGGAATGCCAAAGCACCACACTTCCGCAGATGAAACTGAACTTCACCTTTTGTAGCATTCTCTATTGGATGACATTTTCACTGGGGACTATTCCACACTTTCCTCTGAATTTTCTGGAGTGAATGGACCAGAAACATATGTCACCATAATCCTGGATAATACCAGGGCTTAAGGGAATGCAGCACCTGTTTATAATAGACATACACAACAGTTTCTTCTAGCATAAATATCTTCTTTCTGGCCAAATGCCACCAAGCATCCCTTGCTGCCCTTCAATCCCATACGTAAAGTAAAGCAAAACCTTTTATCCAGGCAAATCCCATCAGTCTCAAGAGGCATGGCAATAACTCCTAACCTCACAATACAGAAAATGGCATAGAATATTACTGAAGCTGCCATCGTAGCTAAGGTAATTTATATCAATAATGCATGTCATGAAATACATAAGCATGTGTTCAAGTTCAAGGAAAATACCAATCAACAGAGTAATTATTCAGTTTCCAAATTGTTCCAAGTTTGATTCCGTCAACCATACTAGTAGGCTTACATTTTACATTTATTCAAATGTATTCTCTTCCCTTTTATTTTTATGGTCACAAGTTCATTAATAGAACTGAGAAAAAATGCATTTCCTGATTAGAGGTCAAAGTGGAAACTAGCTGGCTATAAGCTAAAACTGAGATAGGGTTCAAAATATGCAGTCCAAAATTCTTAGATGGAAAAGAAAAAAGTTTGGGTCGAGGCAGGGACCGCCTATTTCTTCCTGCAAAGTATCACCATTAAAAGGGGACAAGACAAAGTTTGCAAAGTTTACTGCCTCGTGCCATCCCATGCCACAAACCGAACCGCGGATGACCTCATCTCGGTCTAGGCACACATTAGGAGTTGGCCTACAACGCCATTCGACATGGAAGACATTCGAAGAAACAGACATGAGCCTATTAATGAGTCCACCATAAAGACCTGTAATGCGAGGCGACACGCATGCCCATTCAAAATCATGGAGCAAAGGAAGTAGGCCTACGGCAGAGAAGCACACCATACGGCCAATCGGTTTACAAGATCCTTACCCTCACCAAGCCAAAAGACGGGACGGGAGGGGCGACTTGATCTCTATCCAGGAACGAGTCTCTCACGAATGGAACAACCAAGATTTATGCAGGAGAGAGGTTCCAATATTCTGATCTCGTATGTCAACATGTCATGGTGGTCGAGATCCCCCCGTACCTCACCTCATTCCATATCGGGTCCCCTCCCCCACGGAATTTGGCAATTCCTCTCAGGCGTGGACGCGACGAACGTGTTCTTCAGCTCCTTTTCCGTTTCCGAAATAAACCCTAGATCTCCCGATCAAGAACCGGTCGAGGGAGAGGCCATTCCATCGACTCACACCCTAAACGAAAGCCTATCCGCGCTCTGTTGCGACAGATTTATTGCAGGAATCGTAAGGTGCATCCGATCACGATCGGACTCCAAGCCGGAGACAGCACGAATCCAGGCGCCGGGAAGGAAGCGAATCGAGAGACTGACGCGACCTCACTCTGAGTCACGAAGACCCAACCACCCACTCCCATCTTCACCACACAGATGTCGCTAACAACACTCACAGGGGATCTTCCTCGTCCGTGGAGTACCCAGAGGTCGTCTCCTCCTTCCTCCTCCTCCGGACGCGACTAGAAGACTTCGTCGTCCGAGACTCCGCGTCGTCGGACGTCATCCCCGCCCGATCCCCCCCCGTCTCCTCCTCCCCGACGACCGTGGTCGTCGTCGTCGTGGACGATCGGCTGAGCGTCGCCACCATCGAACTCACACTCGCCATCGTCTTCAAGACGGGGGAACCCTGCGCGAGAATGCGAAGACTCCGCTCTTCCTCGTTCCGTTCCGCTCCCCGAAAAAAACACGATTTGGACAAATTCTCTCTCACCTGCAGAGGCGTGGAAGCGAGGAACGTTTTCTCGACATCCTCTTCGGTTTCCGACAAACTCGACAGCGTTTTGCTCCGTCGCTTCCTCGGGGTTCGTCGCACCGACCTGAAACACACATCTTCGATGCAATTCGATTCTTCCTTTTTTTTTTTCTTTTGGTCAGGCAGGAAAGAAAGAACTCAAATGGTTAGATCCCAAAATCCTCGTCCGCACCAGAAAGTTTTCGATACAATTTTTCTTTGCAAGTCGAATTGCCAAAGAAGATTTTCGCGGTGAGGACGTCTTTCAAAGTTTCATGCGCAAGATCAATGCTCTGGACGGTATCTTCCTAAGTTTCCTTCCAAAAATCCTCATTTTGCAACATTATCATGCCATCAACATGCCAGAAACAATATCGCGTAGCGAGGCCTGAGGATTTCCACAAATTATGTCACTTCCTCAGTCACACGTCTACTGGGTACCGGAATCGTCATAACGAAGACGAGAATCAGAATGACACGCCTCAACACCTTCACTTTCTTTGTTTTCCTTTTTTTTTTTTCTTTTTTTACTCCCTTTCCTTATCAGCTGGGAGTGGCAGCAAACGGAACCCGCCGACACGGCACTCCCAATACGTTTCCCTCTGTGGACTCGCACAACTCCTAAGACGACTTTCCCTCCGTCGCAATCGACCCCCACTCACCCCCCAGACGACCCCTCCCCCCCCCCCGCCCCTCCTCGAAACCGAACGGCGATCCATCCCCGTGACGTCATCCCCCCGAGAATAAACACCGATAAGTGACGTCACCGCCCCGCGTAACGGATGGCAAGCCTCGCACTCTCCCCGCGCGAGCGAAAAGAGCCGAAGGATCCCGTGAAAATAAACGGCATTTCCGAAGACACCAGGCGGAGCGGGAAACCTGCCAGAAACGCCGCCTAGGTCCCCCCCCCCCTCCCCCCCCCCCCCCCACTCGACTCCGTGAACCCATGAGATCTCTTTCCGCAAGAATCCGACACGTGTACCTCATCCCGCGACTCCACATACCGATGCCTCCAAACCCAAAAAAACAGCCACCCGCCAAAAAAAAAAGGCCACCTGCCGCTCCCCCGAGATGAGACGTCCGAGACGAAAACGGAACCATCATCCAAAATGATCGATGACACGGAAAACTCACTTCACTTCATCACCCCCTCCGTTAAAATTCTCGAAACAAATGACCTTTTTTCCCTCGGAACTCGCAGCACACTCCGCTCGCGCAGACGGCCCTGCAGACTGCGACAGCACGATCGCCGTCTGAGACAGGCCCTTGTCTTATCGAGCGATGAGAACACTTAAAAAATCCTTATCGAGCCACGAGAACACTTAAAAAATCGCCTACGAGTGCCACACGAGCCTCTCTATCGGTCGCATCCGTCCACACCGATCGATACGAACCCCATCGTGACGTCACCGACCCCAAATCGAGCAGGTGAATCTGCGGAACCCCACGTCGGTCGATGCTCCATTTTTTTTTTCCCCCGCGTCACGACCCCGCGGAGTCACGCAAAAACTTCATCCGTGGGGAGGAACGCCGGAAAACCGCGCCATCGCAATAACCCCGGGGTCGAACAAAGCCGGGCAATAAAGCCGGACAATGGCGACCCCCGGAACAATTAGAAGATGGACCAACTAACGAGTGTCGCCCGATACGATCGCGAGTAAAAGGCGAAAGGGACCCCGGAACCCGCGAAAAAAAAAACGCCGTGCACCTTTCCCCAACGCGCCATCGAGCACCCATTCCTCCCGTCATTCCTCCCGTCATTTCGCATTCATTTAGCATGACGCTGTGGGGGTGGAGAAAACCAACACACTCCTCCTCCTCGTTGCTCTTGCTCTCACGACAAGAAAGAGCGGCAAACAAGACGACCACCGAGAAGTCTCTCGTCCCGTGACTGGGCGAATAATCTCTCGCCCCTCACGCCCACGCCTCAAGGTCTCCTCGGTGATGTAACCCGAGCAAGACATTATTCAACCTCACGGAGCGGCGAAGGGGAAATCCGCAACCCTACCCCCGACGTTCTTACGGAGAAAAAATTATTTTCGGTTCGATAACCCTACCGACACCCGTAGGGGCGTGCGAATGCACGGTCCTGGGGCCACAGGTAGGCACCTGGTAGTCGTCTCTTCCAAACACGGCACCTGGTGATTCTTCACGGTCCCACAGGTGCCACACACGAGGTTTCGCTCATTTCGTAGCATGACTGGGGAATGCTCTATCGCAGTCAATTACATCGCGCGACAGAAATACAAAGTAACGTCGACGATGTCCACCAGACATCGTCGACATTTCTCGTGAAGTAGATCACGAAGAAAACGAAATACCTTTGTAATTTTCTTAACGAAGGTAAAAAAAATTCAGGAAGCGCATAAAAAAAGGCTTGCACAATAAACACGTTCCGTATCGACAGCACCATGGATGGAGGAACTTCTTACTCCAAGTCATAGCGTGGATTTTTCAACAGCGAACCATCCGATAATGCAGCTTTATTTCCGGGAAATACCATGTATTTTCCCTGGAATAAAGCTGCATCATCGGATAGATCTCTGCTCAAAAACCCACCCATGCACACTACCACGCCGAGAGTCGAGACCTCGCGCGACCCTCGACGTCACTCACGGCATCGACTCGACCACACCAAGAAAAGTCACCAGGGCACCCACGAATGCTTCGACACGACGCACCCCCCCCCCCCTCCGGGGTGACCCGTCCACAAGCACAGCAGCCGCTCGACCAGACTTTCCGTCCAAATGTCATCCTAATGCCACACTCCATCACGTAGCAGGGAGCTCCCATCGTGCTGTCATCAAGCAGTTAACCGTCGTTCCACACCATCAGGCAGTCGCGTGATCGTCGAGGCCCAAAGGGACCTCACACCATCTCGATCATCATTAGCATGGGTGCGCCTTCCCTCGATGCGGTGCATCTCATTTATACCAGACCGGTCACGGCGGATTCACTCTCGCGTGCATAATCTAAAACCCAGATGAAACGAGGAAGTCCACGATCCTCCTCCTCCATCCCATTCCCCCCCTCGAGACCCCAGAGCCATTTGAAAGTCATGCCTCTTCCGCGTCTCGCCTTGGACCCCCAGGAAGCTGTCATCCCACACGCATCTCATCGCGTTTCCCTTTTCTCCTCGCACGACGCAATTCCCCACTCCCATGTGGTTAAGTCAAAAAAGAAGCAGATGCGAAGTCACGTCGAGAGTCGGCGACCACGTGGACCCCGTTCAAAAATTTTCGTCGGTCATTCGTCGGCCCACGACCGGGGACGCCGGCTCATCTCGTGCAGATGATCGATCCGATCGTGTCCCACAGCCCCATCAATCTCCCTTCGCTGGGCAGCACATGGCAGCAGTGGCTAACGTGCAGCAGGGGCCCAACACGAAAACTCCGAAGTCGAACCCATGCAAAACCCTCGAGCAAAACAAGTCACAGCTACCCCCAACGAAGGTTCCCAAAACTGGCGCGAGATGGCACCAAAGTTGTCGCAGCACCGAGTCGCTCCCCGATCCTCCCGAAACGTCATCTCTGTACCTCTGACACGTTTCCCTTCGATCGTCCGCACGGATCTCAGATGAAGACGATGGAATCCCTCGACACGCTCCTCGTCGGAGGTAACCCAGACCTCGGATACACCGGGCAACACCGGCCAGGAGGTCACGTGAGGAGAAATCGGTTCAACTAGCGACCACACGCAACGGACTCGGCCGTTCTTCCATCGCGAGACTCTTCAGCCGATAGGAAACGCTAAGATCGACGCAAGCCGAGTGCGACAGCTCGAGAGAAGACAGATACGCTTCCGTTGGAACATCTGACATCATGCAAGAAACCCATCATTTCATAACGGTATGAGACTACGTTCGCCCTCGTCGGGCCGATGCGCTCACAACAAAGTATTCATCGGAGACAGATGCCGTCTCCTGGCCCCAAGGGCTCACGCCACCAGAGCTTCATCGACAGGAAAGAGATTTCACAGTCAGCAATTGCATATCACCCCGACGAAGAGGGAATGCAGGTGCGAGATGAGTTGGATTTCCCCCCCCCCAAATGATGCATCGTTACCTCTCCGAGATGCATAATAGATGCGGTTTTTCTTTCCTCCGACACTTTTTCCGCTTCGTGGAAAGTCCGTTCATCACCGGCTTAATAACGTGTCACGCGGGTATTCCGGCCCGATGAAGGGCCGACCAGACATGCCCGACCGTAAGCCGGCTTCAGCCGACTATAAGCCGACTATAAGCCAACAATCTACCGGTGACGGCCCGGCCATGGCTCACGTACGTGTCAACTAAAACCCACGGAAGGACCGCTAATAAATTCTCGACGGTGCTATTCTGCCGCATTTAGTTCGCGAGAACTCTTTTCGCACCACCTCCAACGACTCTCGCAAAAAGATGAAACGATCATCCCCGTCGAATCCGACACGACGTACCGGGTGCGGAGAAAATTACGCGCTGCTGTAACGTTTCGATATCGGTCGAAGCTACAGACTGCATCGTCGAGAAATTTCCCCTGAATCTTCTCCAATCAGTCGGAACAATTTATCAACAGGCGCATTCAGGCGCAACAGGCGCGTCCGCGAGTAAGACATTCATAAATCCCCTCGAGCCCAACGGAGCCCGCCGAAATCGATGCGCAACGACCGTCCGACGACAACCTCCAGCCACCAAAGAAACACTCTTCGAACGGAGTCAGCGCCCCCTTTCCGTCCGGAAAACCCTCTTCTTCGATTCCGCTCCGTTCGCCTTTGAAAACACGATGAAAACCGACGCAATGCACGAGCTAGCGCGAAAACAATCAAACGTACCGTGTTCTCTCTCTCGGCGAGACCAACAACGGACGGCAATTCCCAAAAATGTTACTCGCCGTTCCCAAAGCGCTCCTGTCGCTAAACCGAAAGACCGAAAATCATGAAGAAAAAAAAAATAGTCTGCGCCAGACAAGACATAGTTACACACATCCAACACCGCATAACCGCATCACAGACGTTCCCACACACAACCTCCCAAAACAACAGTGCCCTTTGCCCCTCACGGGGCAACGGGACTCCGAACGACCCCGCCCACAACGACGGATCAGAAGACCCCGTTCCAACAGGCCGCTCGGGTCTCGTCTGAAAACTCTCGACGGAACATGATTTTGAATCCTTGATTTCTCGTGATAATACCGTACAAGAAATAGATAATTAGGTTACCGTAAGATAATTCCACACGAAGCCGCCGACGGCGGAAGAAAATCCGAACGAGCGAGACACTGAAGAGCGCGGCACTTTGTTCCCAAACGCTTTGCGGAACAAAAAAAAAGGTTAGGGAAAAAAAAGAGTGATGTCAGAAGTGGGATTCGAACCCACGCCCACAGAGTGGACTGCGACCTGAACGCAGCGCCTTAGACCACTCGGCCATCCTGACTCCTTATTTACCTTCCTATCCGTTCCAACTCTACATATAAACATATTTCATCGCATTGCAACATGGTCTCGTCTGGGATAAACGCAGATACAGTGGAGTTTTAAAAAAGCCCGATTTTTGTGAATTTCTACTGCTGGAAGTGAAGAATTTCCTAACAATTTTTTTTTTCAGTTTCCCCATACAATGTCCTATAGAAATACAATAGGCAATAATGGATTGGATCTCCCTCTGACTCATTCCTCATTCATCGATACGATCGAATGACTCATGCTCGACGTCTGAAACCGTGGCCATTCTTCACACAAGAATCGGTCCAATCGCTTAAGTTTTCATAATTTTTCGGCCGGTCGACCGTCACGTCGACATGCTCTTCCAAAAATCGTTTCCCCGCCCCATTTGTGTGCTCGGGATCGTCGCCTGCTTTTTGGAATTCTCTTGGAATTCCCAAATTCGGTCGCTCTGCTCTCGAGCGTTCCCGGACCAACGCCGTATCGTATTTCCGAACGATCGATAACCGGCTGGCAGTGCCCAGCGCACTCGCCTCTGGGTCAGCGTCGCTCGGGGTAAAACCGGGTAAAACGCTCTTTTGACCGAAGAGACAAAGTTCGTCGACAAAGGGTTAGCATTCCGATCGTGCGCCATTTTCAGCAGGCTCGATGACACTTTCCAGAGTTGTCGTGATCGTTGCCATTTATAGCCCCCCTTGACCTTCGAGAGAGTTTTCGAGAAAATCACTCTCGAAACTTCGGGAGATATACTTTAAGTTCTTATTTCGCTGCAATTTTTTTTTTTGCACTCCACTGCATGGCTTTCCAAGTTCCCGGCATTTTTAATTTCTTTATCGCACACCCTCGTTCGCCTTTTTTCCCACTCCTTGAGATGGCACATATCCATTCGTTTTAGTGAATGAAAAATCAAAGCGAACGGATATCTGTCACGTTCACAATAAGAACAGGAGTACCACAAACTTACACAAACTTCAATGATCCGCCCCCTGCATAGCGAACAAACCTACCTTCGACTTCTGCGTCGAACCGAATCCCCCTCACTTCCTCTTTTACTCCTATAGAAGAGTGCTACAGCGCTGTCCGAAGCCTGAAGTGGCTTCAAAACCCCATCGAAGCAGCACCGCAGAAGGAGGCGCCCTTCACCGACGTCTCGGGCCACCAATGACGCCAGTCTCATCCCCCCGCAGAGCAAAATAATCCTCCCCAACAATAGAACACGAAACGACGGGCGCTCGGCTTTCAGCAGCCCTTGCACATAACATCCTCCACGGCGCCATGACGCAACGCGTGGAAATCCCATCCCCAGCTCCCAACGAGAGTCGAAACGCTGAGCCTCCATCCCGCCGAGTCAGGATGGCCGAGCGGTCTAAGGCGCTGCGTTCAGGTCGCAGTCCACTCTGTGGGCGTGGGTTCGAATCCCACTTCTGACAGTAAATTTTTTGGCTCTTTTTTCTCATCGAAAAATGATCAGGGCTGAATGAAGACGGCATGCGAGCAGACTTAGACGAAGATAAGCAACGTGTAATGCATATTAAGCAGCTTTAAAACGAAAGCGGCTTAACCTGCTATATACAGAAGCCGTTGTGCACGTCCCACCCGCGACCGAAAGCGACGACAGAACAAAGCAAACGTGAGTCAAACTCAGACAATAAATGAAAGCGAAAGAGAGAGAAACTCACTTGGTGAGAGGAGAGCCAGGCGCGAGAAAGGAGTGATGATCGCTGTCAGTCTCATTAGGCCAAGCTTCCTGGCTGGAAAAAGGGTTGGAAGATGAAGAAGATGAAGTCGTGCAGAGATGGTGCAAGAAATGTTTTCGAGATTTTGGATGAATTGGAAGTTGGCGTTCCGTTCATGCTTGTGAGTGTGCAGTTGACCGGAGAAATGGGGGCGTTGGCCTAGGCCTATTACCGTGTTTTCGTTAAATAATTTTTTTTATGTATTATTTTACGAATTAAAATGTTATCTTTGTGTTAGTTTCGATGCGGACACTTAGGCCTACGAAGTCGAATTCGACCCCGATCGAAGGGTTACCTGGCTGGGGAGGGGCTGATGCGGGATCGGAACTTGAGGCCGTGTCCCTCGGTGCAATTCACTTTGTCGCAATGAGATCGGAGAAGCATGGAGCGAGAGAGGAAATCGGAGTCGCTCGCACTCGAGTCGTAGGACTCGGAGGTGCTGGGCCGACGACGACGAGGCATCGCTGATGGGCCTAGGCCGAGGACTTGGCACTGGTGAACGCGCGATCCGACGCGTTTCTGTCACATCACGTCGAAAGCGAGGAACTCGAGAGCGGTTGATGACGCGGCCGAACCGGAGAGAGACTCGGTCTGCACTGCCGCAGCTTCCGACTCCCCGAAACGGGCTTTCTTCACTCGTAGCACGCTCCCAGTAGAGTCCTGCACCGGCCACGCTTCCGCCCGCATTGCGGAACGCTCGCACCAGCCTCTCGCCCTCCCTCCTTCTCCCGCTCGCGGATGTCCCACACACGCGCAGGCCTCCACTCGGGACTGATGCACACGCGTCGAGCAGAGAGAGAACTACGCTAATCGCTCCTCCCGCCATCTACCAACTAAGCAAATGAGTTGAAGCTTCAGTTGCGCATGCCAAGAGCTCACCGCTTCGCGTTCCCACAAATTCTAGGTCAGTCAATTCGCAGTTCATAGTTTAAAACGCTAAAACGTGAAGCATGGCCTCTTGTAAAGGCTATCTCTCTCAAGGCCTGAGATAATAATGACGGCGGTTGAGACGTTGTTAGAGGAAGAATGACAAATTGTGCTGGTTTCATGCGGGGCGAGGAGGTCAGACGAAACGAAAGTCCTCATCCATATTCGAGACCGGTCGGGCCTGGCAGGAATTCGGAGCCTTTCGGTTCCTCGCTCGAGTGCGAATCTCGGCTCTCGTCGCCTTCTCTTCGATCCACTGAGGTGAGCCGCCTTCATTCGGTCCCGAATCTTTCCGTAGGGAATGAAAGGAGAATCTTGCGGGTCCTTAACGGTCATAAAGGCAACAGAATTGCAGAAATTTCAGTTTTACTGCAAAAATGACTTCGAGGCGAATTGGGCCACGATGGCAGCGAGATTTGACCCGCGTTAGAATGGATTTCCCATGTGTCACTTGCGTGGGATACTCAAATGAGGAAAGTAGGACGTCGCGATGCCAGACGACTCCGACGTGAATAAAAAAAATTTTAAATTAAATTTAAAAAGGCTGAATCGTGAGAGAACGGAAATCCTCTCGATTACTTTCTACGTTGACGTGCGGCAGAACGCCATAAAACCAGGCCGACACGAGAGTAAAATTTGATCATGGAGCTTCCTTCCAGGCATCTGAGATCTCTGAGGAAGTCAACGCAGCGCGCAGTCGACTTTCGACAGCAGACGGAATCGAACAAGACTCGAATCTCATTCGAGTAGGATCAGTTAAATAAGACCTGCTGCCACCAGACATCCGTGCCATCCAGTTCTCCCCTCCCTCCCTCCCCTTCCTTCGGTCTCTCAGTCGCATCCACGCATTCCTCCTCGTCCTGCCTTCCAGCCCGGAACCGCGGAGACAATCGCCTCGACGCCGCGGGCCGCATCTACCGCGCGTCTTCTCACTCGCCCGCGGCGCGTCACGAGGGCATCGACGACGGATTCATCGCTCCCGCATTCCACATCGAAGCCACGCAGATCAGCCTGGAATCGTCGAATCGGTTTCGAGCCCTTCCCGTCCACACGGCAGGCGGAAGAGGCTTCTTTCAGAAGAGTTTCCAGGTGGCACTGCTGTTCTGTTCGCACGCTGGCAAGTCGGGATAACATAAATGTATCACTAAGTTTTATCATCACCACATAAACATCTTTTCTAATCGATCGGTAACTACTGATCGTTGATACTGATTTTTATGAATTAAAGTACTTCCCGTGAAAAGAATTCAATTTACAATTTCTGATGCGAATCAATCGGAAATCGAATCTGAGATTTCCATTTTGGCCTCGCCTCTTCCAGCTCATTCATAGAATGTGCACCGATTCGGACGGTCGGGGCCCACCAAGGTGGAAACCTCGAAAACGGTTTTCCACACTCGCACAGACGATTCACAATCCGTTCCTCGACTGCCAAGCACAATTAATCTCAGTTAATGACCACACAACGAAGCTCTCAGAAGCAGAAAAGCGCTCGAGGATAAGGCAAGACCCTTGCTTCAGCTCCCATTTTATAATGATGCTATTGCGTTGTTGATGTTTTGCTAGACCACCTAGTCAGCTGTTGTCTACTGCGAATCTATGAATGGAAATCATCTGAAGCATGTCGCAAAAATTGAGGCAGGTGAAACTCGAAGAGGATGCCTCACCCCACCTCATCCCTGTATGCTGCAGCAGTAGAAGTTTAACAATGCATGAAAAAAATTAAATACTTCACTCTATGAGCATGAACTGCTAATGCCAACGGGAAGCATCACCATAAGAAATACAGCTACTCGCCTGCCATCAAGAAAAAGAAAGATTCATTTATGTTCCACCTGATGAAGGTGAATCAGGGAATCAAAACTAAATGCAGGCATCGTCACGGATCTCAATAGAGTCAACGGCTACAAATCTTCACTTGTTCTACGCGCTTTCCGTGTCCCCTCTGAACGCATCAAAATACTCGGTGGATGCATTGCTTCATCATATTTTATTCATTTATTTTAACTTCAATCTCTTTATCTTGTGAGGTATTAAGCTTGGAGCATGTGCAAGTTGTGGTCAATTGTAATTTTTTTTTCATTCTTAAGACAGATTTCTGTCTTGAAGACCTGGACGCAAGGAAATAAACCTGAAACTTGAACCTTTGAAGACAGGATGTTTTTTATGGTGAAAATTTACTTTTTTGAAGGGAGATAAAACCATCAATTCATGCTTACTGCTGTTTTCTCTGGGCACGTGTCATCAATTGAGTCTGAGAAGCAGCCGGACTTCCAGACTTGCTACCCAGGGAATCGTGTTTTCTATTTCTCTTTGAAGACTGGTAATGGGAACTGATTTTATACTGCAATTTGTAAGTTTCACAACAGAGAGGAAGGGAAGCTTAATCAATACAAGGGGGATCTTTCAACTCTGTGTGAGTTTTCCTATTACTATGGGAACACACAGAATTGGCTTGGGGTCTAAATGAACTCTTGCATCAGATCCAACACTTTGTTGCTCATGCAGAAACAATGGAAAAAAAAGAGATAGTCTTAGAGGTGAGAAAGAAGAGAGAAAAGGAACAAGATAATACAGGAAAAGGAAAACAGCTTTCTTCAAGAAATGATGCATTTATAGCAATTGCTATTAGAATTTTTGAAGAAAGGGAATTCATTCCCATTAAAGTTCCTGTTAATAAATGATCAATCATTACTGTTGAAGTTCCTAAAAAATGCATTTAATCACTGAAGGTCAGTCATGATGAACCTTTGCACCAATTCCATTGGCCAACAATAGGAAAAGAGAAAATATACATTGGAGAATGGAATGCAACTAACTCCCTTCCCTTTTTGAACAGTTTTCAAATAATGACACTGCTACTTGCCCCTCCCATTAAATCCAATGAACCCTGTTGATAAAAGAATTCCCGATCATGACTTGGCAGCATGACTGGCAGTCGAGACCCTCATCAGATTTTTTCATTTTGTGAAATACAAGAACACCATAAAAATTCTCCATCATTGCTGCAGTGCATTATATTTTCTCATTTATCAATCAACAGTAGGAAAAAGATGAACTGGATGTCAATGAAGAACTTCAACAACAAAATACAGAATCAGTAAATGAGACTTCACATGAAACATCTCAAAAGTGACTAGTTGTGGAAATCACAACTTCTGTTCAACCAGCATCCATGTCCTTTTTCATCAGCTTGCTCAACTTCTGCTTTATCAATGAAGCTTCTCCAGGAGAAAGAATCTGCTTGCCACTTTCATGCAGTGCGAGTTTCTCCTCGAGCTGTTCTTGCTCAAGCTGGTTCAGTCTTTCGTAAAGGTTGAGGTTCATGTACTCGTCCCAGTCGTTTTCTTCACGCAGGATGCAGAAGTAGATGAGGAAGGCTGCGATAGAGGCTATGACAACGTAGGCCTGGGATGAGGGCGGCTGATCTTCGAGTCTCAAGGGGTTTCCATAAGTTTGTTGCACTCGCCACTCAGCAGCTTTGCTTGAAGAGAACTTCACAGGGTCGTCAGGATCTTCAACTTTCGCTTGTCTCCTACACATAGCTGACAAGCTGAAAAAAAATATTACCTTTCAGAGAGCATGAGCTATTTCATACGAAATAATGTAGCTTAAATGACTTAACATCAAACCCTTGCTATTGAATAGGTGTAAAATGGACTGTTACCATAGACTTCTCGATGGGGGCCGCACAAAAAATTGCGTTGGAGTCGTTGATGTAGAACTGTATCCTGAAGATGGTAGGATGTGCGCTTGTTCAAGTGAAAATATCGATCTTTGACACAAGCCAGAGTCCACATTCAAACAAGCCCTCGTCCTTAGGCCAACTCGCCCAACACACCTTCCTCCTAATCTGTTCAGCCACGACACGGGAGACGCAGTGCAAAACATGACGAGAGCCTTCCCTTGTGGGAAACGCCAACGACGAAGGAAGTAGCGTTTCACCACTGAACTGGCTTCTGCAGAAAGCACGTGTTACAGACTGGCTAGGAGTTTCGACGCGTAGCAGACGACAATTCTTGCAGTGATGAAACATTAAACCGAACATAACTATGCTGTTAGGATCAGAGGATGTGTCAGAGGACCCTTTAAGATTTTAAATGTGACAAATATTATTGAACTCATGTTTCAAAAATTGTAGAAAATAAGAGGCCTCGTATTTGAAGAGCAAATTTGATCATACAATTTAAACACCCACCACATCCAGTAGAAGAGCATTCTGGCAACCAGGTGCCAACATGGCCCTTTCTTTTCGGTGCACGTGTCTTGCCTTGTGCTCATGGCCCATGATCCAGTGAAGTTCGCGTAGGACTTAGGTCCGTGCATAGAGCCTCTTTTGTATGGAACGTAGTTTTTCTACGAGTTTCGTATGCCTCTATTTTCCACCTTTATATTTCATTTACTTAGCGAAATGAAGACATTGTGGGATGCAAAACTGTCGTAGTCTTGCGCTACTCAATAGGAAACCTATGGATACCGGCAGTGGCGTAGGCAGGAAATCGTCAAAGGGGGGGGGGGGTTTGAGGCCAGGTAGAAACCCCAACCCTACGTCAAGCTTCATTATCCGAATTTACCTTTTTTGAAGAAATGGTGGTCTGGTATCATGGGTCTGTGGACGGACATCGGACTTTCCTCGTAGGGGGATAGCTAAAATAGGAATTCCCAAGGAAGATTGAAGTATGCCTGTCAGTGCCACTGACTGGGAAGCCCAAGGGGGGGGTTCTAACCCTAAACCGCCCCCCGCCCTTCCCTACACCACTGGCATAACAGCGAGCTACTCTCCGAGATGGAACAAATTTTCTGAGCATGTTCAAAGGTGCTGTAAATTCTGTGGTACAGTACAACGTTGGGGAATGCACAGAGGCTTATGTGTGTAGTGTTTCCATCTGAGTAGACTTGACAGAAATCCCTGGAAGCATTTGTGGTTGAACTTTTTAGGTAAGTTAGATGCCAAACGACTCAGGTACTATTTTCACCTGGAAGAGTCTCAAGGTCGGCTTAGGCCAATATTAGGCTTGTCTTTCGTGCATGTAGGAATTTCGCTGGAGATTTTGCAGAATAGCTGATTTCTCACCACCAGAGGACCTGTTGAACAAGTCCTACAAGGTCCTACAAGTCATTTGAAGACTTCCCAGCATGTCCAAACTTAATGAATAATGTAGACATCTGTCTGAATATGATATGTGTTTTGAAAAGAAACAAGCATTATGTGATACTCTCACTCTTCATGCATGAAAAATATGTATGATATCAAAGAACTATATATCAGGAGCATTGCTGCACCCCCTCCAGCCCTGCTCTGATAATGAGATATTCATCATATTTTATTTGGTAATTTGTATGATGACCTACTTAAAAATGATTTTTTTCTCAAGAAATTCCAAGATGCAGGAGAACTTGTCAATATTGCAAGTGTGGATCCTGTTTCATCCAAATGGTGGCTGTTATTACTCAGAAATTTCTCTTCAAGTGAATGAAGTTCTCTTTTTCTCACATTGTGATGAAGACTTACAGCAAGTCCTCTTTGTTTTCTGGAGATGACAGTATTTGTACTTCATTTGTACTCTGTACTGTCCCTTATTCTGACTTCATGACAAGAATAGAAGTGGCTAAAAATATGTCTAGGTTTATAGAATAAGTATAGTCTGGTACTGTTCAGTGATAACCATGAGATTGCTGTGGTGTGATGTAGGTTACTTGAGTCATAGCATCCTGCCAAGATGGGGAAGGTGAAGAAAATGAAAATGGCTGGCAAGGCCCGCCACAAGCCCTTGGAAGCACAAATCGCAGATGACGAATTTGCTCGTCCCAGTGGCAGATTTAAGATGAGAACTCGAAGTGACAGAGAGACAGATGAGGTAAGGTTATAGGACTTGATTCATATATGCCTAAAATGGATGCCATTGATGTATAACATGGTTCGACATGTATCTTACCTTTGCAGGTAGTAGAACCCACTCTCTCCAGAAACATTTTACGAGTTGCCAAGGAGCAGCTGGCCGAAGAGGGTGCAGGAACAGCCAGTGTCAAATCTCCCTCTACTGTTCCATTGAAACCTATGCTGGGACAAGCAGAAAGTGACTCTGAAGGGGAGGGTGATGGTGATCATGATGCCTTTTCCCAGAGTGAGGAGGATTATGAAGATGTGGTAAGGAGTTGAAAATTTTAAAAAGTCATCATGGGAGTAGTAATATCTTATGGCATTAATGCCTTGATACTTATGTTGAATAAATGCAGGAAGTGGATGAAGAAGATGAAAAGGCTTTGGAAATGTTCATGTGCAAAGATCCACCTGCACGAAGGACACTGGCAGATATAATTCAAGAGAAGATCACAGAGAAGCAGACTGAGATCTTGACACAATTTTCTGATGCCCAAAGCAAGCTGTCTTCTGTTTCTGCCCATAAAAATGGATTCCTTTTGCATTTGTGCAAGGTGAAGAACAATGTTTTAACATGTATTCACAGGCATCCAAGTTCGAGATTTGGATCCCAAGATAGTGGAACTCTACAAGGGAGTGAAGGAAGTGTTGGCCAAGTACAGAAGTGGAAAGTTGCCGAAAGCATTCAAGATCATCCCACGTCTTGCAAACTGGGAGCAGATTTTGTACATCACAGGTAATGAGATGTTGTCCTTGTCTACTGCAAAGAAATATCCTCACTTATGCTAATTTCATTTTGGCATATGCCAGATCCAGAGAAATGGTCTGCAGCAGCCATGTACCAGGCAACTAGGATTTTCACATCAAACCTTAAGGAGAAGATGGCACAACGATTCTTTCACCTGGTCTTGCTTCCCCGTGTCCGAGACGACATTGCCGAGTACAAGAGGTTGAACTTTCACTTGTATCAGGCCTTGAGAAAGGCACTCTTCAAACCTGGAGCATTCTTCAAGGGATTCCTCATCCCACTCTGCGAGGTTCCAGTCTTTGCACATTTTTAAGTCAGCTCTCTCTTGTGTTCATTTTTAAACATGCTAAATTTGCTCAAATGGTTCAATTCAGAGTCGGACGTGCTCCTTGCGAGAGGCCATCATCATTGGAAGTGTCCTTGCAAAGAATTCCATACCAGTCTTGCATTCAGCTGCTGCCATGCTGACAATAGCAGAGATGGAGTACAGTGGTGCCAACTCAATATTCCTACGGATCTTCTTGGACAAAAAGTATGCCCTGCCGTATCGTGTCATCGATGGAGTTGTTCATCACTTGCTGAGGTCTGTTTTATCATCATGACTCATTCCTGGGTAGTTCCAAAGTTACTGACATAATGTCAGTCTCGAAGTGGAAACAAGTATGATATATCTTGAAGATGGTTTAGTCCTAAAATTCTGCTTTATAAGTGCCATATAGAACATGGATGTCTATTCCTATTCCAGTCAAAAATATCTAATTTCTCCCATGTCTGAAGGCCATTCATGTCATGTTACTAAAATGACACATTTTAAGCAGTTTTTCTTCTGCTCTCCTTGCAATTCTGTCCATCCAAAGCTTGGTTCACCAAGCAAGTAGTAAAATCATCAAAATGGAGTGGTGTTGGAGAAACGACCATCCATATCATGTCGGGTGACGTATGTATAGTGGATCCCAAATTTAGTCTGAGTTTAGTTCCCATACAATGCAGAAAAAATAGGTTGGAGGACATTTTAATTTTATTTTTTATACCACTTTTGTCCCTATTACTCTGGAACTGCCCTCCTATGGTGTCTGGTTTCACATTATACTCTTTCACCTCACAGATTTCAAGGAGACACTAGAAAGCTGCCAGTGTTGTGGCACCAAGCCTTTCTGACCTTTGTTCAACGATACAAGGGAGACATTTCGAGTGACCAGAAAGAAGCCCTGCTGGATCTTCTCAAAGTGCATTGTCACCATCAGGTTGGACCTGAGATCAGGAGTCTCTAAGAGGTAAGCTCTAGTTCTCTGCACCTTCACGGAAATCTTCTTTCTCTATACCACCACCTTACTCATAGTCACTGACATAAGTACAAACGTTAGTATGTGTACCGTTTTAGTACACTTTTTGAAAATGAATTGGGTGGAGAGACATGTTTAACGGTTGGAGGAGTTGGGTTTTTTTAATGCCTAGAAGATCACCCGTAGTGAATACACTCTCCTTTCTCCTCTGACATTTCAGAGCTCATTTAGCAGCTGCATTGGGAAAGCTGGTTCAGGTTTGCCCCAGTTATTCTCATTGGGATGATACGGTGCACCCCTACTCAAAAACTGCAGCCAGCTTCAGCTATCATGGGACTATGGACGACTCATATTAGCAGATGAAGTTTTCCAGTAGTGGTCCACCTTGTGCATTGACAGGTAATGTGGTAGCTTCCTAAGCCTGTTTTATGCAAGTAACTTTAGTTGGATGGTGCTTCTCTGCATTTCTTACTAACTACTCATGATTGGATGGATGGATGGTTCCCTGAATAGGTAGACAAGGGCCTGATGAATGGCCCCGTCAGATCTGACTTCATTTCACTGTTTCTTGTGAGGAGACTTAATGAATCACATCAGCACTCAACAAATGAACTTGGGTACATATCACTACTATTACACTGAAGATCTTGCAGAAAGCTAAGGAATCATGGACATGTCATTGGTAACTGTGGCTTGCTTTTAATGGAGCACAATTGAAACACGTCAAAAAACCATTCCTGTTCATGAGACGTGATGTTCACCCTATCTTGTTACTGTAAAAACTTGAACTGAAACCAACAGGAACTCTGCATATCACCATGGGTCTTTCATATTATCATGGGAGGAAGAAACATGATGCATCCATTGTAAAAAAGCTCAACACCATGCATGACACTTTCATGACTTGAATTTTTCAACAGTTTAACACGAGCTACAGTAATGCAAGTTTGCCAACAGATGTATGAGGGACAAATGACAGGTATCACAGAATGCCTGCCAACAGTCATGACAGGTGTGAAATTTCAGATTGAAATGGAACTCCTCTTTCATTGCATTTTGACCTCAAGATGCAATCACTGGAGAGATGTACAACAAACATTTGAAAATATCCACAACAATACTTCTGAAGTGATCATAGTTCACAAGATCTTGACACAAGTAGAGCTAAGGCAAATTCCCATGGCCAAATAAGCAGTCATGGTCTCAATGCACATCTACATCGCTAAAAGAAAGAGGGGTACACATTATAATTTGAACTTCACAATTCTAAAATGTTCATGATCACAATGATAATGATACTTGGTAAACAATCACCTGATGTGAACACATGAGATCTGATCTGGTACTTCTTGATAGCAAAAAAAAAGGTTTGCAGATGCTCCCATATTGTCAGACCCTGACCATCATTCAGGTGTTCCATTCACAATAATAGGAACTATGCAACCTCAGCTATGGTAAATTTGTATAGATGCAGGGGAAGTACATGAATGATGTCAGTGTCCAATGTGCAAATTAATATAAAATTCTTCCCTGAATATAGGCTCTGCTCATTGCACCTCCACAGAGGAATTCCCTTTTCTATTGGGACGTTGTTGAATACTACAACCTAGATATGGAATGGCAAGGATGGCATATTCTGACACAATGCAAGATTTGCCAAGCAAAAGTGCGTACTTCAACTTTGGAACATGGTTATTAAATTACTGTTTGTGAGCATGAAGTCTATGAAAAATTCTCTCCAAAAAGTAAGACAATCATGCAATAAACAACTTCATGCTGTTGCCAACTGACAAAAAGCAGCAAGTGATAGATTTAAAGTGAGATAAGGTCAAGAGTGCTAACAGGCAGCAAACATTAGGAGAATTCTAATCAGATTATCAATGGAGAACCCAAAGGGACCATGTGCATAACAAATGGGTTGATGAAGAAGCTCTCAAAGCAAGCTAAGAAAAAAAAAGGCCTATGTACTAGCTCCTTAGCAACTAATTGGAGGGCAGTAGAGCACTGCAAACATCAAAATATGCACTTTTCCTGTACAAAAGTATATTACAGCAAAAGGATACGTTTGAAAATAAAAGAGAACTTGCTTCAATACAAGAAATAAAACCAGGAAATTCATATAAATCATAAAAACAAAAAAATAATGTGAGCATGGCCTGCTAATATGATCACATGATTGAACTAGTTTTCTTAGGAAATGAGAATACTCTTGATCTTCCCTTAACCCATTCCCTGGTGGAGAATGGTCTAATATTCTACCTTTTCATGGTAAGCCATTTTTAGCAAAGCTCGAAAAAATAGATTCTGCAGAATCAATAACTGACAAGCGGCTGCTTGCTGCTGGACTGCTGGAAATGCTCAAATTAGAAGCATGTCCAAAAACAGATTATCCCCATGCCAGACAATGGTTGAGAAGGTTATCGCGCTCATATGTCAGGGAATTAAATAGATTCTCTGGTTTTCCAGACCAGCCAATTAATTTCTTTTCCTGGATACCATTTTGACGTGACTCAAATAAGCAGCCCACTTTCCAATGGATTTGCAGCTGTCACGAATCCATTCATGATCATCACTGGAGTTGGAGGGCTCGAATGCAGACGTGTTGCCACCCGCCCTAATGGGAAAAAAAGGAAATGCAGATGAATGATGATCGTAATGCATGCCTAATTGTTTTAAATTAAGGGAAATCAATGTGTCTCGTACCCCCATTCCAAGATGCCAGGTGCCAGGGAGATGAAGACCCTGAGGATGCCGTCTCCGCATGCAGACGATGCCCGTATAGATCCCTCCCAGCATGCTGATTCTCTCCAATACGCCCCAAAGCTAATAAATTTTGTGGACGTTGCCATCCGCACGAGACGACGTTCTCGATCCCGAAGACCACATCACGCCTACCTGGTCGCGAGGTCCGGCAGATACGTTACGAAGGAGAGCTCCCTCGTTGAGGAGTTGCCAACAGGTGCCCTCGGGCATCAATTCTGCCACGTCTTTCCGGACGAAAACGTTATTCCAACGGTCGACGGCCCAAACGGCACGTCCTCCGGCACTGATCTGCATCAGAGGGGAATTGCTCGGTGCCTCTTGCCTGAACCACAGCTTCCCTATGAACACGATGAGCTCTCGGTGAGAAGTACGAAATGACGCTTTTCGACTTTTCGTCCTCGAACGATCCTCACCCATGGGGGTGGAGGAAGTGACTCCATTCCTGAGGAAGCTGGATCCGTCCTTCCCGACGGCCCACACCCGTCCTTTCCCTCCGACGCTGATGCTCACGATGGGAGAATCACAGGGCACGTGCTCCCACTCCGTTCCCTGCAGCGATACGGCGTCGAAAAGAACCTTTCCCGTGGACGAAAAACCGAGGAGACCGTGGAAGGCAAATTCACCTGGGGACACGAGTAGGTGACACCCTTGCGAAAGAGCACGTCTCCGTTAGCGGCGACTGCCCACGTGGCCACGGGTTCTGCTTCGTCCCCGCTGTGATCCACCTTTACGGAAAATGAAAACAGAATGAGGGCTAAAAAGAAAGTACAGCGCATACAAGAGAGTTTCACCCCAATGCATCATGAGAAACCATGCAGGACGATTAAATTGGAGCAATGTGCATCTCGGTTCATTAGGACTTCTTTTTCGTCAGATGTTACGAGAAGAGAAAGAGAAATCTTATAGAGACTATTAGAGTTTGCTTGAATCCCATTCGGCAGTCTGTGTTTGAATGCGTACTCACTCTTCTGTTCAAACTGTTTAAACTGTTCAAACTGAAAATAATTCTGTTCAGAAGAGCAACCAAGCCAAGGTGTTGCTGGCAACTTTGCTTCCCTTGAGATGATGTATCCCGACCGATTAACCCTCAGAAATCCTAAGGGTGGAAGAAGTGAAGACGGGGCAGTGGGTTGAAGCCAAACCCCCCTCTACCCCCTTGGACTTTCAAAGGTTAAAAAGCAACCATAGCTACCTGTTCTATGCGAGATGACAATTTCCAAGGTCGAAGACCGTGGCTGCTCCAAAGTAGACGATGAGTGGCATCGTCTACTGAAAGAAATCAAATGTCCAAAAGTGCCGATGGGAAAGACGGATTCAAAACTCTCGCATTTTCGAAAAAAGAAAAATTTCCTGCCGATTCGAAAACCGTGAGACCACGAGACACCGACCTGGAAGGAAACATCCAGAAGCTTCGTGGCGGCCAACTGCATCCACGGACCCGACGTCCGAAGGGAGCACTTGCGGTACCACCGTCTCCGGCGCACGTAGTCCGTCAGGCCCTTCTCGGCGTGGTAGGACGCCGGGAAGTCCAGGGCGTACTGCCAGCCCTCCTTGTCGACTCCTCCGGGGGTGTGGTAATCGACCCTCCAGTCCGACACCTGCGAGACATCCATCGGCTCTCTCGATTCTCTGCCGACCCGCTCCCAAGCGGTACGAACGAAACGATTCCCGACGAAACTTCGGCGAGAGTTTTCCTTACCGTCGTCTCGCTACTAACTACTTTACGCTGCAATACCCGAGTGTCTGGACTCTGGAGCTACCGTGCTTATGAGTTTTCATAAATGGAACGAGGAAAAAACAGAAAATTTACTCAGAGAGGAAACGTCCATCATCCGACCGTCGGTAAGAAAACTCGAGTCGAGCTCGAGATCGCGAAGACACGAGAATGACGGACCCATTGCCACTTGGAGGAAGGGATCTTGACGGAGTCCTTGGAGAGGGCCGCGGTCCCGGTGACGTCGGACCACGGAGGCCGGTCCGTCGGGAGGCCTCGCGCGCTGTAGCCGGTCAGGGGATTCCAGCGCTGGTTCTCGTAGACGTAGAAGCAGCGGGCGTCCGTCATGGGTCCGACGTCCTTGCTCCACAAGCCTGCGGGCATCCCAGAGCCACGTCAGCCCGAACCACATACGGTCCTTTCGAGATTCCTCACGACCGACAGACCTCCGACGTTTCGCTTCCCCTCCCCCCCTTTCGATAATGTAACTTTTTTTTCCCAGACTGGCTATCCTTCTGGTCTTTCTTAACTACCCGAAAGGATTCATCTCTCCGAGTCACTTTTCTTGCAAGTCCTCGAGGAGACGATCCGGAGTGCGAAAAATTTTTTCGGACGCCACGCCTCCCCCACGACAGACGCATCACCCTGGACCTTTCGACAAAAAAAAAAAAACACTCTTCCACGGTTCCCCTCCGTATCCTCGGGTGTACGCCCAGCAGGTCCCGTCGTACCCGAGGCCCCAGACGACCACTACCACTGCCACTTTGTATCCTGCCATCTTTCGTTTGGAATAGGCGAAGGGGACTTCCACAAAAATGGCAGGCGTGTGTTTGCCATGCGTCCATCGATAGTGCTTCCAGCGAGAGAGTGCTGGCATAATTTGCGGAATTGCACATCGTATGATTACCTTGGTATGACTATTCCGCTATGCCTTCTGCAGCGACGGATTTCAAGCAGAAACTCGCAGAGCAAGTGCATCCCTTGCTTCCAGTTTGACATTCAGTATTAAGGTGAGTTTTAGGACTAAACTTTTACCCTGTCAAATTCGTGGATTTTAAAATGGTTTCGTCGCTCGACATCTGGATGACAAAAGACGGCCTATCACCCAGGCAGCATTTGGCATCCATCGTACGTGCGCAGTATGTCCTCACATCTTGAGGACGTATGGCAGACGTACGTCGGAGGTCTGATGCCGTCCGGCATTTTTCACTTGTACTCAAATTGATGCTTTTTTTTTTTAAGGAAACGTATCTTTCCAAGATTGAAGCTACCTGCTAAAAGCTTATTGGATCATTCTGTAGAAAATGAACAAAAATTGCATGAAATTTGACTTGACACTTCGAATTTCATTTAATATGGTGGACCTATTTGAAAACTTATCCAATCCAAGTTTCACCGGATTGGATGAAGCACATTTTGACGGACGATTTTTCTTTCAGCGGATTTCGTTAGTGCACCGAGGTTTTCTCCTCATAAACTCAAGGAGATGACATTGACCCTATTTTGAAGCAATTTTCATGGACTTTGACATATGTTCTTCCTTGAATTTGAATGGGAACAGAGTTCAAAACCCGGTTCAAGAAAACCATGTCGACCTGGAATTCCAAGGAAATGTGAGCCTTACTATATGCCATAAGCATAAAACACAAAACCAACCTATCAGACAAACAAGGGGATATATGGATACAAGGATGCATTCTGGTCACGATTGAAATTGTGCCCCTCTCATAACTAAATAATCAAGGAGGTTCCTAAGAACCGTTTATTCAGTTCCGAATGTTTTGCAACTGCTGGAGATAGCATGACTATGGCCAATTCCGATGGTCTCAGAGGGAAGGTAACGAACAGCATGGAGAGTCTCAGAACTATTTGTTGAAATAAAAATAAAAATTAATGGGGCATATACTGGGACGGATTTTTTCCCAACCCATGGCAATTCAAGTTTGTTTCTTTTACAGCTGGATGATTGCCCCTCATCTTCCAATGGATTACGGTGCTGCACTAAGGAAAATGAAGCGCTTGCTCAAGTGGCGTGTGGTGATCAACTTCGACCATTTCCTCGACGAACTAGTCAGCGAGAATTTGATTCTACCCGCGAAGGAAATTGGGCTTCGATCGAAGAATGAATACTCTGAACAGATCGAATCCACCTTCCTCGATCTTTGCACGCGAAACCCTCGGCAAACTTACCTGCAACTTCTCGCAATTTTTGATAACATGGGCAGACAGGACATCATAACGGATCTTTCTGGTGAGCAATTGCCTTGAAAGGAACAACTAAAGTGCATTCGTGCTGCATGCATTGCACCATATGTTCATTCTATCAGCTACCGAAATATGAAAAGCGAAATTTAAGATCTTTTATTGAGATTACATGCTTCGGGACATCGCAGGGGTGTGGACTCCTAAGATTCTCTGCATATTTGGCAACTTCATTTCCCGTGTTCATGGATTTGCCGAATAAAATTAGGCTGTGATCGAAAGCTGTGTTTAACAAAATCTGTTTATGCAATAAAGAGAGAGCACGATATTTAAAACTTGGATTTCATGGGAAATGCGATATCTAAAAACGTGGTACAGGACGTTGCTATTCTTTTTACTCACAGATGTGGAGATCCCTAATCCTGCTCCTGCTAATCCTGCTAATCCTGCTCCTGCTAATCCTGCTAATCCTGCTCCTCTGAATGTAAGTTCACTGTCTCCATGTGTTTAAATGTCGCGAATGGGAAAAACTCGAACAAGAAACTACGTAAACATAATTGATTTATAGCTGATGATTATGATTTGAAATTCCCTATGCTTCTTGCAAATGGTGACAGGAGTTGGTAAGGGTGCGCATTCGCCATGTATTTCCTACCGCGCTGGAATTTCAATACTGTGGCTGGGCAGTCTAATTTCATTATCGAGAAATAAACTTTTTTAAGGAAACCTTGGCTGCCTGTGAGGAAATTTTTTCCTCAAAAGCTGCAGAACTTATTTCAGCCAAGCAAGAAAAATATTTTATGGATCAGAAACTTGTAGCGTGAAAATATTTAATTCAAAGTATATATTCACTCCTCCGGTGCCAATGCACGCGCCAAATTTCCTTCAATCGCATATTTATTTTACTCTCATCGGCTTTGGACATTTTTTTGTGAAGTGGAAAACTAAATAGTTACAAGTCATATGAGGAATGTTGTAGGTATATAGAACTAGGTAGGAATATACGAGGACCCATCAAAAAGTTCCGAGACTGGCCTTTGTACGTGAAAACTAGGTACACAATTTATGTTTCAGTATGATCCCTATCGAAATAGCTACCTTGGCTGGTTTGTAAAGAACACCAGCTGGAAGCCATTCTTGTTAACCACTTTCAATTCGTTAGTCTCAACTGATCGGAGAGAGCCTGTATCGTCGAGCTGCAGTCTTTTAGAAGGAACTTTATCTGGGAAACAGCGTGGAGTCCATTGAATAGAGATGTGCTGATAATATCACCCCATGATTAAAATTTCTATGGGACTGCCCTGGTTCTAATTGATTGTGGCCCTTACTACAAAAAAACTGAGGAAGCTTCCTCAGTTCGGCTTTAACGATGACAGTGACATGACGTTTCTAATCAATCGTTTGATGATATTGCTAGCACATTTTCTATATTCACCGGACCTCACAACTTGTTATTTCACGCTGTTTCTCAGATGAAGTTCCTCCTGAAAGTCTGCATCTGCGACGACATAGACGCTCACCGATGAACTGCGACCGACACGTTGAATATGATTGCCAAGAATTTGTTACATTTTTCCAAACTCTGTACAAACGTGGGGGGAGTGTATCACAAGCTGACTAGTCGATCCGTGGAAGACTTCCACGAACTCTTCGGCAAGAAATCCCGAGTTTATTCGGCGGCCCTAAAACTCAGTGGCCCTCTCATCGCTATAGGCAGCCTGCCCCTCTTTCCCATTCCCTACTTGTCTCCACGTACAACCCTTGGAGTCACCTTTCATCCCGCTGAAGGGAGGATGACTTCCTCCGCGGGGTTAGATCTTCGCACCTCACATTTATCGGCACTTCTTCCTATCGATCACAAAGCTGTCCGCTTCGTCCGTAAAGACCATCTCCATTACTTAGAGTCTAAGGCAATGAGTGAAATATAAAATGCTAAATTCAGCACGAGATTAAATTTTCTACAGTACTATCACCTTATTTTAAGTATCCCCACCGAATGGAGAAGAGAACTCCAATTGACGCGTGACCAGAGTCCGGCATCTCCTGCTCCGTGC